CTTCGTTTTATGGTGCGACAAACGGACAACAAAACGTGAATAACGGACGATCTTTATCCAACTAAATGCTTCATAAAAGTTGCTGAAACGTTTGCTACGAAAGATAAGCAAGTGAAGAAGATATTTCAGAATTTTCTATTGCTAATCTCCGAAACACGACTTAAGTTTTCTCTGGACTTTAAAGCAAGTTCTGATTTGACGTATAAACGCATATAAACACACTCCGGTCACTTCACAGAGTCACAGTTTATTTCTCAGGACTCGACTCCTCTCCGTTTGTTTTCACGGTCTGAAGCCCTTCGCTTCACTTCCTGTCGCCGTGTTGCATCATCAAGCAGACCTCCGCTCGGCGCTTCCTTTGGAGCCGAAATGCACTCAACCCGGCTCCCCTGCCGCTCCACTTCAAGCTTGTCGCTCTGTTGCCATAGTTACGTTTTTATCTCTGGGAGAGACTCATGACGGCCTGGGAACAGTTGAGACTTACGGACCGCCATCTGGATTGTTACATATTCTTTTAAAGGCGTTTTACTTTATTTATCTGGGCTGAGCTTTCCCAAAAATACCTTTTGACTTCAAGGCGCTGTGCACTTTGTGTTGCGAGCTGCAGAGAGAGAAGAGACTGGGGTTCGTTCTTTCTGGGTTGTTTACAGCAAACTGTTTCCAGGGACGCATCAATGCAGCGCACCTCAACAGAAGCTGTTCTGCCTGGAGCCTTCTTTACCGGCGTGAGGCTCGAAATGAGTTTCTGCCGCAAGTTCTCAGCGCACACATCCACAGGAGAGACGGCATGATTTACATTTCAAAATGCTCTGTCTTATTAGAATAATTAAGCCGGAGCACTTGAGGAACGTGATAATCAATTTCTATTCCGCGTTTAAAGCACTTAGCAATCTGGGTATTTTACTGTATGAGAGCCAGACGGAGAGAGTCTGTTACTCAGCTTTTTTTAAATCCTTAAACTATGTTAAGACGATTCCTAATAGATGAAACCATTTTGTTTAAGTTTCATACTGTGCATCATGTACCAAGTTTTTATCTTGAAATTGATACAGCATGACTTATTTATTTTTTTTCCATAACATGAAAGAGGAAACAGGAGAGTAAATATGTATGGAAGACCTTCATTGGTGCTCGACATATAAATATTTTCCCTTAATTTTTGCCCCAATCATATGCATTCTAAGAAAAGAACAGAAAATTGAGAATAAAGACATCATTTTACAAGAATGAAGTTTAAACAAGTTATTTTTCATGAATTAACTCAATATTACAAGAACAAAGTCGTAATATTACCAGAGTAAAGCTTATTCAGTTTAGACTTTCTTAAAATACCACGACTTTATTCTCATAATTTCAACTTAATTCTCAAAATTTCGACCTTATTCTTGTAATTTAATGACTCTTACAGTTTTTTTTTTAATATTTTCTTAGTGTGACCCTAATAACGTGTGGTACAATCAGATCTTAACTTTTAAAAATACCAAACAAGACAAAAGGCAACAATTTAGTAATAAGCACTGCGGTCAAAGTATTTAACACATACACGACATATAGAGTACATAAAATGTCTACAATCTACATTTTCACTTAGAATCTGTAATTCACCCTCCAATAATTGCAAAAAAACAAATAGATATTATCTCTTCTCCTCTCTGCGGTCATAACTTTTATGCCTGATCAGTGAAAGTTAAATAAATCCCGTCATGTTCCCGTGTTTTGTTGGTGCAGTATTTGTACGTTTCTTCCATAAATCCTGAGCTCTGGGATCGATGCAGCTTGCCCATAAGTTCTCGGCACACACACAGTTCCTTTCATCGACTCTCTGTGTCTGACTGAGTGACTATCAGAGGCTCTGCGAGTCTTTTACAGTAGAACCTGCACGTCAGTGTTTGTTGAGACAACTCTGTCAGCAGCCGTCGTACCCGGTGTACCGTTTCCTCGCCGACAACAAACTACTGGTGATCCTCGACACAGCGGGACGGGAAATTGGATGGACCCTATTAAGGCCTCTTTGCAGAGGCTTTAAGTAGCCGCTCCTCCCTCATGCACACTCCTCTGTTCGCAGAGGAAAGGAGCAAAGTCGCTCTCAGGAGTCGATGTTGGCACGCAGCACGCATCACTTGTGCCCGCATGCTGTGACCCAGCGTGGCGTGTGACCAGCTGTCCGTGGCTGGGCCCTGCCAGTTTTTCCAGAGTGGAGATTCGCGTGCATCCGAGTTCACTTGGTCGCCCCACGTCCAGGCGCTAACCGCGTCTCGCCGCTGAGGGGACTCGTGGGTTAAAGCCAGAATGAACCGTTTTCAGTCCATCATCTACTGCATCAGAAACAATTCCTTCTTGTTGATTTAGGATGTAGGAAGGAAACCCTTTCCTACTTGTTGGGTGAAAAATAACAGTGTCTGACCAGCACTTTCCCATTCAGCTAACGCTATTATAGTAGCTAACGGTGAAGCCGGACACCAACCAGGGACGTCTGTGGTGAATGTCCTCATAATTCAAATAGTGATAAAACAGAGACAATAAGCCGTATGTGTACATATTTCTACTTCATTGCAAACATAATGCAACCTGTGGAGGAGTTTTCATTTGTCTCGCTCTCTCCTCAGTTCACTCTTGCTTTCTGTTTTGCATTTCTGTGGAGTTGATTGTTTGATATCCGATCCATCTGCCTCTGGACATTTCATACCGACCATTTGGTTCACATTTCACAGCACATTAAAGTCGCTTTATTTAATCTGCTCACTGTCTACTGTAAGGCAATCAGGTGCCGTCGTCACTCGGTAATGCTAAAGGCACGTGCTAAGATTTAGGAAGGCATTAGAAGTTACAGTTTCAAAACTGCTGAAGTTTTCCTTCACTGTGACTCTGTGATACGAAGAGATGTTAATGGGGGGGGGGGGGATGAAGAGAAGAGAGTTTTCTCCAGCTGGATGAAGGGTCAGCTGGAGAAACTCCACTTCTTCTTGCTTAACTTCTTGTAAACCTTTCACAACCATCATGGTGTGGAAACTGAAGCACCACCATCCGTCGCTCTTTTCAAGACCTTTTTCACAAAAATGTTTCACAAAAAACTCACAAAGACACACGGAGGCAGCGGTTTTGCTGAAATGCCACGGAAATCTCTGACTTCCTGGTGAAGAGGAGATTAATGTTCTTTGGTTTAAACTGATATTTCGTTTGGATCCAATTGGCCTGAAGTGGAATTAAAATCATAATAAATAGGAAAAGGGCGGAATTAAAAAAAAATCTCCAGAGGTAATTGTTTTAAAATATGCATTAGTGCTGAACGTTGTGTGATTATATGAATGGAAAATACTGAGCTAATGTGAAAAATGAAATGGTAAAAAAAAGTGGTGAGTCGGCAAACAGACACTGATCTCGAGTGAAAAATAAATAAATAAAAACTTTATGAACAACATTTTATCATCTTACAATAATAAAAGTGACAATAAGAACTATTTTTATTTTTATTTTTCAGGTAACTGCGCTTGACAAACACACCATTTGTAATACGCTTCTTTACAAACGGGTATAAAGAAATGTAACACATAAACAAGAGCTACTTATATCACTAAGCTACACAGAGTAACTTTATTTTATGTTTAAATGTCAGAATAGCAATTGAACAAACTGTAGGGGTGAAAATGGCAAAATTAGCAACCTTGACCACACGGACAGCTTTAGGTGGTTTTAAAAATCCTTAATTTATCGTGACAACAATAAATCATGATAAGAAATTTACCACAATAAACGATAAACGATGCGACAAATGCAACATGAGTCGCTCGCTTCTGGTTCAGAAATCTTTCACCAGTAGCTCGGAGTCGATGCCTCCCTTTCGCCGTGACGACATTCACCGCGTGCGTTCGCCTAATTAGCTCGCCGCTACTGTAAGTGGGATAATTGATTGCGTTCCAATATGGTTGATTTGCAACTCAACCCGGCTAATAATTGGTTATTGATTGAAGCATTAGTGAGGAAAACACAGCACGGGGATGTAACCTAGTCAAAGTGCTCCGGAAAGTTGACGCTGTGGGTTTTTAATCTGCTTTAATGACATTACACCTCGCTAAGCTAACAGGGTGAGGAGCGCAGGGTGGAAGATGATGAACTGCTGGTCTCTGCTCAGCAATGCAGACTCATAAGTTACGACTGGAAGAGATTACATTTAGTTAGAAAGTAAAAGACTGCCTGAGAGTGCGTGTGCGTGTGTGTGTGCGTGTGCGTGTGTGTGTGCGTGTGTGTGTGTGTGTGTTTCGAGCTGTGGTCGTTTTCTTGTAGCTCTGCTGGCATAATATTTGAATACTGGAGTGAAAGAATTATGGAAAGTCATTTCATGTAGTGAGATGTATCACTTGCTGTAAAAACGTCGGGTGTAGACAGAAATCAAAGATGTTGAAACATTTTCTTTTTTTCTCTCTCAGCTCTCTTCAAAGGAGAATTTCACATCAGCTTGTTTTTGCATCATTAAGTCTCACTAACCAGTCCCACTCGATTTCATGCTCCTAACCAGACATTAAATGAACTTTCGGAGTTTAATTGCAAGCGTGGTTAATTGTCCCGAGGTCAGGGGTCAGGCACTTCTTTGATCGGACTCGTTTGCTTCCTGAGCACTTTTTCGATTCTTTGTCCTTCATAGACTCTGTACCTTGAGTTCTCCCGCTTTCATTTTCATTTTTCTGTATTTAGTCTATTCAGCCCTTTTATCTCGTCTTGCCAGCTACCCTCTCGTTATCTGGCTTCCATTTTCATTCATTCTTCAGTGCTTCGTCCCCCCCTCCAAAAAAAAGTGTATTTCTTTACATCTCTCTCTCTCTCTTTTTTTTTAATCCGCTGTCTGTTCTTTCCCCGCGCCGCATTCAGAGCAGAGACCCCCGAGGAACCGAAAGTTAGAGGGCGGAAATCATTTTTGAAGCGACAAAGAGAGCCGGGTTTCGTTTGAAGCCAGGTGTGAGAATGTTGCATCGCGCGGTGCTGACGTCGTCTCCTCTCTCCTCCAGCTTTTTCCCAGAGGCCCACCTTGGCAGTTAGAAGAGAGGTCATCACCATGACAGCGTCCTCACAGGACTCCAACCCCTCGTTTCTGGCTGGCCTCTTCCTCCTCCTCCTCTTCCCAGCTGTTTGCACGCAGAACTCGGCGGTCCCGACGAGCCCGACCACGCCTCTGTTCGACCCGCTCACCCAGCCTGAGTGCACAAAGAAAGAACATCCAAAGGTTTCCATCCAAGGTCTGACGTCATCCAAACAGATTTTTTTGCATATACTTTTACGTAAAGTTGAAATAACTTGTTGCACGCTAAAACTTCAGTACTTAAGTTATTTGGGACAACAGTTTCTGCATTAGTCAGAATCCCTGATAAAGACGTCAAAACAGCTTTAAAACTCATAGTCTTCACTAATCTCACCATAAAAGCTAACTTTTAAACAAATGGGCACAAATGAATCTGTGTCCATTTGTTTAGTTGAGGGGGGAAATGCCACATAAAAACATATATTTAAACAATCACAGAAAGATTCAAGAAACGTAGGAATCCATAAACTTTTGTTTTTGGTTTGAGTTTAAATTTGGGATGACAGAGAGTCCAAATTTGGCAGGACGATGACCCACGTTTATGTCGCTCACTGTTATGACTTCAGCAGAAAGTGGCGTCTTGGTGGCCATTAAGTCTCAATATAAATTGTTATCTACGTGTAAACTTATATGTTAGTGTGTCATACCTTAAAAATAATTTGTTTTTTTGTCCTACCATCATTAGACAGTAGAAGTAGAGCTTGATAAAATGTTCTGAGGCTTTACGTTTGTGCTTCGTCAATGTTTAACAAACATGTATTAAAAGTGCTTCATTCCCACTGTGTCGTCACAGAGCAGTGAGGACGCAAATGTGGCAGAGTTAAAGAAGAAAGTGCTTGTAAATAAATCTGCTGAAAGAATTCAAAAGGCATAAAGTAGGCCAGGTGTGTCCAAAATATTCCCCCAGGATCAACTTTGTTTCAAGAAAATACTACATGTTTAATTTACAAAAATGAATGATTTACAGTCAAATTATTTTTGATTTTTATTTGATTTAAAAAAAATATTTGTTTTAACTTTGCATATTTTGACAAACAGCAAAAATGATTGGAAACCACTTCTGTGAGCAGTGAGTCTGAGGTGACAATTTTCAATCAAACTGACCTACTTTAGTGTCCAAAACATAAGACATAAGATTTATGATTGTCAGTATGTTGGTAGACTTAACAAAATAGCAGTGATGTAATTTATTATTATTATTATTATTATTATTATTATTATTATTATTATGCATAAAAAAGCAGAAAAATAAAAAATAAATACCAAAAGCATAAAAAATTAACCCAATACACCTGTTGTATTGAATGTAACAGTGAGCATATAAAGTGTGGCTGAAGTGCAAAAAAGATTCTAAACACACGCACACAGACACACGCACGCACGCACGCACACACACACACACACACACACACACACACACACACACACACATACACACACACGTGGTTTTAATGGATTTCTTGCGTCCATTTGTCAAATTTCTTCAGTGAAAATCTGCCTTGTTGCTTTTTTTAAAATCCTGCAAACAGAAAATGCATGAAAATGGCTTTTTGGTGTTTTCAACAACTGCATAGGGAGGAAGAAAGTGATCTTTGGTTTTAGCAATAAATGGTCAAGGAATAGTAGCTTTCTCTGCTGGAACATTTTATTTTTGTTCATTTTGCTTTAAAGTGGCCTTAAAGTGTCTGGTTAATAGTTACTATATACCACAAATAATTGCAGCAGCTTGTAGATAATTATTATTAGCATGGGTTCTTTGTGGTAATCTGTCTGAGGAGAACCAAAGAAATCAGGGTTGACCATCCAGTGAGAAATGTTTTTATCAGAAGAATCAGATGGAGTTTGTGTTATGTTTAGGAAAATTCAGAACAACTTCAAGGTTTCCCACAGAAAACTTGGTAAGTCTGGTGGTTGTGGCGCTCAGGCAGTCATTCGTCAATCATCGTGTTTTTGAGTTAAACATTTTTTAAAGTTGACAAGAAATATGAAAATATCACTTGATGATTGTGTTATTAGAAAATTGGAAGATTATTACCAACTAAGAAGTCTTAAAAAATGCAAACATTAAAAAAAAATTTAATAATGAACAATGCTTATTTAGCCTGGTGGGGGGACAAGCGGTCTGCCAGGCTTATAATACACTGAAGGACATTTATTAATTAAATAACTGAATGGATTTGCCAAGTTTCTATGCTTTTTAATTGAGGAGACAGTTTTCTGTCTCTATATGTACATGAATGAAGGTATCATCATGTCAGCTGCAATAAAAGCCCACTGCAATTCGCAACAGGCTGCATGTATAAAAATAAACGCGAAAGCACAAAACGACCAGGTAGAAATGATCGTGGAGTCAAAAACCCACCCACTATCTGGGCTGTTCATCTGCACAGCAGCACAAGAAACCTGTTTTTTTTTTTTTTTTTCCTCACAGTGTGAAATGGAACTGATTGAAGCACAGAATACCAGATATGGCAAAATGAAATGTCAAAATGCTCAAAATTGCTGTGTTTATTTTTGAATAGGGCTGTTTGCGTTTCATCTGCCAGGAGCTGCAACAAAGATTGAAAGACAAAAAAAAAAAAAAAAAGATCAGTGGTGAGAATCGCAGATAAAGACACACACACACGCACACACACACATAGAAGGGAGCTGCTTTGGAGGACACTCTGCCTTTCCAAGCAATTTTGCAAACATGTTCTTTGGATTTATTTTTAAAATTTCTTCATTGAGTCTTAAAGCTGCTCTTTCTTCGCCTTAGCCAGTTCATCCATGTTGCAAATCTCATTTTTGGCTCAAGCGAGTCAAGGGAAGACAGCTTGATATGCGTAGCACTGTTCACATTCTCGGCAATTCAATGTGCTTTACAAGAAAACATGAGGGAACAGAGGATAAGAAAAATCAAATTAGACAGACAATACATGAAAAATACCAGTAAAACTTCATGATTCAAGGAATCTGTGATGGAATAGTGACCAGTTCAGATTGTACTCTGCCTCTGGAATGCTGGGATTTTAATCAATAAAATTTTTTTATTCGTGAAACTGGCTCATTGATATTACAGACATGCTCTCTTAGTGATTGTGCTGACGCAGAAACATAAAGCATTACGTCATCAGCATATGTATGCTAAGCGATTGTGTGGTAATCTGTGGAAAGAGAAGCTTTTATTGATTTAATCAAAAATGACTCGAGAAAGCAGCCTTGAGGAACCCCACATGAGACATGACAACTGCCAAACGACACATTGTCCTAATCTGTGGAATAAAATCTGAACATATTTAGCAAAGTACGACACAAACCCACTCACTTTTTCATTCTGCGTATATTTAGTAAAACCAAACCAGATGTATCACAGTGCGGTCTTAGTGCTGCATGGTGACTGAAACCTTGACAGGAACACATTGAAACGATTGTTTTTGATTGGAACTCAATTCATCAATCAGTCGATCAAGTTTATTTGCCTAGCACAGTTCGGCAACGAGGCGGTTCAGAGTGTTTCCATCATAAACATCTCAGTCAGGTCAGATTTTTATTCTAATTTGATTTTTAGAAATCTGATCTTGTGAGTAAATTGATTACATTTTTGTCACATTATCAGTTCATTTCTGTTAATATTTCTCATCCAAAAAAGGTTTTAGGAGGGAAAAAAAAAGTTTTCTGACAGAGTGTATTAGTTTAATGATACAAACTTGGATTTTCTGTAAATTGAATAATAAAAACTAATAAGTGAAGGTACATGTGAATTGAACCTTACGTCTTCATCGTCTCTTTTCTGTCCTGATGGCGTCTCTCCTCCTGCTCATTGATCAGATTATCAGGAAACCGATCCATACGTGAGGACAAGTCATGCATTTCGATGCTCATGTTGCATCCATAGCTCAGAAAGTTGACCTGGTTGAGCAACACCAATGGGATTTTTGGATTCAGCTCATCAAAATGACCCTAAAACAGTTGGAAAAACTCCAGACAGTTTTTTGGCTGTCAACCAGTGTGACGGTTCAAAGGCAACAAGTGGCTTTTTTAGTCTTGGTTTAAACCTTCAAGTCCTAAATGAAGTGCCGGCGATCCAGCCAAAGTTGCAGTACCACAACAATAGACGATGCAGAATCTGAAAAAAGGACAAGAAAAGACTGGGTTTATTAATAAACCGCCCTCTTCGTGATCTACGCCAAAAATGTTGTGTTTGATACGAGCCATACTGATTTACTATTGACGCATATAAACTGAGTCAAGTGGAAAAAAATGAAAAAAGATTAAAAAAGAAAAGAAAATCTCTTCCTCTTGATTAACATTGCAAATAATCCTTCTGCTTCAGATCCAAATGATTACATTTAAACATCAAGTAGCCATCTGTGGCCACCTATATGCCACGTCCTTGGCCCCTGTCCGCCTTCACCCTCTGGGCCTCCAGATGTCCAGATTAGCCGAAGCGCCACCACTGCCTCACTTCAAAGACGTGCCACTTGAGAATGGCCCTCATGGCAGGGAGCTGCAGGGCCGCCGGTCTGTCAGAAGGAGGCTGAGAGGGGGCATTATGTGAAGGGAGCCTTATAGAAAAGGCTCGCACAATGAAGGTGCCAGCGAGAACCTGAGATTAGGCTCTGTGATTGATGAGCGTTTTATACCGGGGCGCTGCAGCAGTCACCTGGAGGAGACTACAGAGAGCGAGCTAAGAACACAGGCACCTTTAGGCTCAAGCTCAAGTCTTCACCCGGAGCGATAAAAGAGCACGCGCCTGCTGTAAAATCAAATGTAATTATGTTTGTTGTCTGAATTTAAAGCTGCGCGCCAGCTGGTGTGTCGCGCAAAAAAAGGATTCGATGCAGAAATCAGACAGCAGATTTGGATGGTCAAGTACTCTGGGCTGATAGTAGACTTTTTCTTTCACAAATAACATTAAATAATTAAAAAGGGAACTCATCAATATTACAACTTTTTCCCTTTTAATTATGTTCAGACTCGTAGCTTGTATTGGTTGTCATTGTCAATCATTTTCATGTCTTCAGTCAAGAAAAAATGTGACAAAAAAACTAATAAAATAATCAGAGTACAATGCTGCCAAGAAGACCAAAGAGTTGAGACCTTACGTAGGGAAAAACAAACTCAGACATCAATACAGAAATGATTTAATGTGGTTCATATTGATGTGGTGACAAA